TCCTATTGAATTAACCTCTTTAGGAACACTGACGTATAGGAAACATTCAGATTTTTCAAAAATTCCAATATTTTTGATAGAAAAAGTCTGAAAGTACAGTGAATTAAGATAATAAAAAATATTTTGAGACTAACTACCTGCTAATTATTGGTTCAAATAAATCTTTACAACCCTTCCAGTAACAATTTATGTCTAAAATGCAGAATTTCTCCGTTAAAACAGCAAAAACGATAAATCCATCTCTTTCAACACATTCCAAATGAGAAACCTCTAAATCAAACGAACTCTCTGCTAATTGTTTCCTTCAACAAACATTTACAATCCTTCGAGTAATAATTCTTCATTTTAAGACCTACAATCAAGCGAGGAAGAAAAAAGATTCTACGTTGATTGCAGTGATACAACAGTTTGACGGTTCGTTTCCGCCACAGGTCCCGTAGCCTGAAATTTAAAGATCCCCGGGGGCAACATTATTTTCAGGTCGTAACACTCGGTTTAAGACGATATTCGGTTTCGTTACCGGCGAACAGGTTCGCCTTGCAAGGTGAGATGCGTGCTTCTCCCGTTCTTTCATTCTCCTCCACATTCTCCGACTGCTCGTTTTCGTCTCTCGTACCTGTACGCAAGCTTCACTCTACACGCGCTCTATCTCGAGAGTGTGTGCGGAGACACTTCAACGTGTACGCAAAAGGTGGGTTTGTGTGCAGGTGGGCGTACGGCGTGCACAACCTGGCAGAAGAATTGCACACGAAGGAAGAGACTCGCCTGTGGGAAAGTAACGCAACACCATGAGAGCCAGAGGCCTGGACCGCTGCTGCCAAACTCCCATAGCGGCGTGTGCATGCCATAGTGGTGCTCGAAGCGTTCGCTGCGTGCACGAGGATAAAGTGGCTGACCACCGTGGTTCCGATCTGCTCTCTGCCTCCGTTCTAGCCGAGTTCCCGTGCCCCGGCCATTCCGATTCTCCCTGTGTATGATTTACCGAAACCACCTTCGTTCTCCGGCATTCAGCGAAAAGTTGAATAATTTTGGATGTGAAGGAGTCCGTGAGCGAGAAATCGAATGATTTTTTAATTTTAGTTGGGGCTCTTTTTTTAATTTGCTGAAGAATTTTTTGGGGGAAGTTTGGCGGAATTATTGAGTCTTCGAAGCTTTGGGATTTGAATGCGAAGTTTCGATTAGCTTCCGAGTCAATGAGGAGTTGAGTAATTGCGAAGCTTCCACTGTGAACGATT